AGAAAATTCCTGGGTTAAGTAGCAACAGAACTGTCCTTGAAAATGGAGTCAGAGTTCAATCTTTCCATCTCATCCCTCACTTCAGCAGTGGCTTTTGAGATATAGGTTTATGGCTCTGGGAAGGAGAAAAGAAGACAATTACTGTGTTCTGTGTTCATGTGCCAATCTTTCATAAGCTATGCAATAAATCAGCCTCCAAAGTCTTTTCTGTGTAGCATCAGTGATAAACAGTTCAGCTCGACTCTTTTGGACTTAGAAATCATGTATTTTTTTCCTTAGCAATGTAAATTCTTCTAGAAAATCCTACTGCCTACAAGTCTACTTTGCTAATTCTTGTCAGCAAAATTAGTCTGTAACCACTGCAGTCTCCAAGATAGAATTTAGAATATATCTATATGTATAATGACAAATACAAGCTGGATACACACTAGTTTTCAAATGAAAAGCTTAACAGCCAATATCTGAATCATAGATGCTTGACTCAGTCGCCTAAGAAACCAACACCTGCTTTGGTCCTGCGATAGAGAAGTGCAATCTCTGTGGAAAAAAACTCAGACAGTTGCACTGGAGCACTGTCCTGGCAGAGGACAGGATGATCACTGTGCAGGGGCTGTTTGCTCTAGATCTTCTGGTTTGTGTTGGCCACCAAAGCAGGTAGTTGGGATTTAGCACAACCCTTCAGAATTGCTTCTGCAGAGGTAGGCACACCATCTCAGGGGTTGCAAGCATGTAGGAGAGTATTTTCAAGATATGTAATGTTATGAATTAGTGTAACAACACAAGGTTACAGCCCATTCACAGCTGCTATGTGTATGCCTTCCCTCTGTGCTAGGAGCATTTGGAAGTGGAATTGTACCTCTGTATGATGGTAATTCTCAACCTTGAGACAAGTTCTGGAAGCTGAGCTGCTCCAATGGTTTTAATTTAAACTTTGTTGGTTGTTCCCCTCACAAGTTCAAGTGCTTTCTGAAATAGTTGACTCTTGAATTGCTGCGGTGACTGGCTCTGGCTCTGCAGATCTCAGTTACTGTGCAGTTGGCCAGCCTAGTTTCTAGAGCTGAACTGACTCTTGTGAAACCTACAGAAACCTACACAGTGCAGCTCAGTGGGAAAGTGCAAGTTTCAGAGAAAGTTGACTTTCCAGTCCTGAAAGATCTAACACATAACAGATGCCTGATGGATTCCTCTGGCTGATAAAATCAAACTCAAACCATGCAGTGGTATCAGTGAATAATGTATGCAATCTCTATTGACGGAGAAGCTAAGCTCTCATCTAGCATACATGTAATAAAACAGGAAGGAGAAAATTCCTTAATGGAAAAAACAAACAAAAAAAAAACCTAAGATACCTGCTACTACATGTTCTCCAGGACAAACTAAAACCAGACCTTGCCAATAGAGACAAATTGCTTAATATCCATACTAGAATTTGAAGATAAAAAGTAGTGTAATTATTTATATTTTTACTACAGCAGCTAAGATTGCTCTCCTAAATAGATACATTGGTATTTTATGTTTAAAACATACTAAAAAGAGACTTGTGTGAAATTTTTCTGGAAAAGAGTGAATGATGTGATACATTTATCAACACAGTAATAAAGCATTTATAATTAGACCCTATACCTTGTATATGCTTCAAGGAGAGGAATTTCTGAGTCAGCATGTGGCGCCATTAAACATTTTAAAATGTAGCTTAATAATAGCTTTTCACATCCTTTTAGTTGAATGTGACTTTTACTTTAAAAATAAAATGAAATAATTAAAAAAAAAATTGCTCCTGGAGGTTGAGTGTTCTGTATTCATGCCATTCTGTATCTCTGATTGCAAGTACTACAATCAAGAGAGTGAACAAAACAGGACCACGAAAATGGGCATCATAATTATGGAGTGACGCTGCTAGTGCACATTTTCCAAGAATGGTAATTAGGCACATGTCAGGGGTAAGCACACAGAACCTCAACATATAGCTGTGCCATTCCCTCCGGAGATGTCTGTTTCTATTCATGACATCCTTGCAATCTCTTCTAACCCATAATTTTCAAGACAGCCAAGCAGTGGTGTTTGTGTTGTGCAGTCTCTGCTGTTTTTCCTTCAGAGCAAACAGGAAATCGCAACATTGTATCTCACCACAGTCAATTTTAAGCAGTTGAACTTCTCCAAGAAAACACTTTGCTCCTAATTTGTAGCTGGTTCAATATGCAGAAGTTTTGCAGCTGACACATTACTGTGCTGATAATGCTGTGCTCTTGGCTACAAAAGGTAATGTGTGTTAGATTGAGGACAACACCTGCTGATGGTGTCCTACAGAAGCTGTAACGCTGTCTTTACATCTTTCTGCTTTCTAGGAAGAGGAGGACCACAGTGGCTAGTTTATGAAGCTAAACACAGCATTAAGAGTGCTGTCACGTTGTGTGACCGTGTGACCAGGCCTGGATTTCTGCACGTGGAGGACAGCAGTTCTTCAAAGGAGAAAATCAACAGGCAGGAGATGGCAGCTGAACTCCTGGGTTCCTTGCAAGCCTTCATCACAAAATCCCTTTAAATGAAACTACAATTACTGTTTCATTTTAACTGCAGTGAATCATCTTGTAGCAAGTTCTTCTGTGGGTTCTGTAAATACACAGTGTAAATTAAATTAAGTTGTATGCCTATTATCTCTACTTACTCTTTGATTTTTTGCATAGTGTTTAGAATTGTCTTTTTACAGCACATAGATATAACATGAATACATCTACAGGAGATAAGACTGATTCTAGGCTAAAACAAAACATCGATCTGAAAGTGGTAGAATGGTATCCAAAGAAAGTGAAGTTTTTGTGTAATGGACCTTACTTAGCAATTTTACATTGTTTCATTTGAAAACTAGATACTATTTTCATTGCCAATTCTGATGTACATTGCGCTCTATCCTGCATTCTTTCTCTTCTGTTCTTTTTCTTAGGATGCACAGAAATAATACTTTATTTGACATAACTGCTGTTGTGATAATTCTAATGTGTAGTGATACGCATGGCAGTACCAGAAACTGTCCAGAACCTCTCAAACTACCTGCCGGTATTAAATATAAGAAATAGTACAGCTTTTCTTGGCCACATTACTTTTTTGGACAATGATATTAAAATTATACATATACATTTATTGCTTATATGAACAGTAAGTCTGCAAAACTCATATTTAGTTATATATTTATGCTCTGTTTTCAGTGTGTTATATTTGCAGACCATTTTAAGTAATGCATTTATCAAAAGGAAGAAACTAGCTTTCATAAATTATTATTTCCTGTAAAGGGTTGAATTGTTAATTGTTCAGTTTAAAACTGTTTTGTGACTACAATTTGTCAGCCTATATTCCTTTCACGTGCTATGATTTTATTCTTCACAGCATCGCAAGTTGTTTCATAGCATTATTGCATGCTGTTATATTTGCCAAGTTGTACCCCAAAGGTATTTGCATTTCAGTTCTGAGCGAAACCCTTCCTGTACAGCAGGTGATTTGCAAGTTGCTTTGTGATATTTCCCGATAAAAAGTTCTATGTAAATTATCTTTACTACCATATGGCCTGTTCATGTTCCCAGTTCAAATCCACTGGGAGAAATCTCTCAGCAAAATCAACAGAAGTGCATCTGGTCCACACACAGGCTACAACAGAAAATTCTTTTGGTCTGATTAGTCTTTCAATGGAAGTTCAAATAAATCAGATGTAAGAAGAAGCAAAGCTGCTCAAAAATGAAAACCACTCTGTGATGTGTTTGAGATATGCCAGAAGCACTTCTCAGTAGAGACAAGTATAACAGATTATAAATTGGCTTGGTCAGAGTGAAAATCACTTGTAAGAGCACTGTTTACAAACCATCTGGATTTTCAGGTCAGTAGTTTGCTGCAGTAATACTTGAGACGCTGCATATTTAAGCAGAACAAAATGGATTTTACTAAGTTCTCCTTCTCCTTTTTCCTTTTTTTTTTTCTTTTTCTTTTTTTTTTTTTTTCTTTCTGACCAGCGTTATGTAGATGCAAAAACAAACAATATTGGTGCAGCTATGCTCTGTGCTGCTTTAGTTGAGGAAACAAATACTTTTACAAGGGAGATACGCCGACTGTCATGCCAGCAATGAAGGCAGAGTTTGTTTTTGCTGCTAACAGAAAAGCATGCCAAGTTTGTGTTAGTGTTCCTTTCCATTGCAGCCACTCGTAATCTGAAAACATTTTCAAAATAAAAATGACAGTGCCAGTGAGAATGAATGAACTTTGACAGCAGTATAATGAAATGTGTGGGAGGAAGCACTCAATCTGTAGAATTTGAAAGAAAATCTAATTCCATCTCCAGTCCTTCAAGATGTGGTATTGGGCCAAGGACTCTTAATACAAGTAGCAACAGTGTACAGCCTAATTCAAGCGTGGTGAGAATAGTCTCTTCTGGTGCATGCAACATTAATTCTCCAGGGTTTTCTCCATCTGTTGTCTTGTATGCTTGAAGTGTAACCTCTTTGAGGCAGGAAGTAATTTTATTTCATGCATTTACTGTGCCTACCTAGCACAGTCAGACACTGCTGGGGAGATATAATCACTACTGTAGTACAAGTAACAATCTTTTTCCTTGTAGAAGTCACAGTGATGAAAGAATAATGATATAACTCATGTTTATAACATATTTCCTAAAAAAAAAAAAACCAACACCAGAACTAGATGTATTTTTATAAGTTATTTCCTAAATACAGATGTAGGTTTGTTTGTTTTTATAACTGAAAGCACGTACAGAAGTTACCTCATTACTGTAGTGAAAATCTAGATTTTCAAGCAAAATAAGTTGTGAAAATCTAATGACAAACGAAATCACGAATTTACCAAACAGCAGTAGCAGAAGAGACTTTCTACACAGGTAAGAAGCAATATACAGTAATTGTGGAACCCACAGGGAAGGTAGGAAAAGGAAACTGGGCTTCTCGTCAGCTCAGCTCTGATAGAACATTACCTGATTTGCAAAGCACAGCCTTCCACATCTGCCATCCTGCCCAGGCAGAAACACCTCCTTCTCTATTGCCAAGTGCTGGGAACCTGGGCTGTGTCTGTGCGGCTCTGATAGGAATATTCCGATCTGCAATCCTTCTGCAGGAACAAAGGCAGCTCATGTGAGTGTACTGTGGGTCTGTGGTGCTCCGGTGTTTGTAGGTCACTGATTAAAGACTGCAGGGAATTACTAGGAAAGGGAGAGATGGCTGATCCATGGCTTGAATCCGTCAAGTCAAAAGTGAGTGCCTGTTGGTTTTGAAGTTCTGTGGGCTTCTAAATATAATAGTAGAGGATTTACTGACTCTTTGTGGACCTTACATATCAATCACAAGAAAAATTTACTTTTGGTCATGGAGGAATAGCGAACTATGGCCATTCTTACAGTAGTGCAGTGCATTTCCTTGGATCCATAACAGTGCCCGTTGTCCCGAGTTTTGTCTTGAATACCAGTTTTAGGACCGGGGTGAGCGCTGAGATGCCGGCTACAGCCGGTGCCTGGTTGCAGAACGTTCTAGTCCGTTCCAGAAGGTTCTGCGCTGTTCTAGAGACCGCTGTGCAGCCGCAGCCGCTCCCGCCTGGTGCCACAGCGCCGCCTGCCGGCAGAGTGCAGCCGGGCAGCGGCAGTGCAGTTGCCGAGAGCCGCGCAGGTGAGGAAAGAAGAGTGTGAAGCAGCAAGGTCGGAGCAGGAGGGCAGAGCTGGTGCCGGAGCAGGGCCTGCAGCACGTAGCACTAAGGCTGGGCCTCCATTGAGTGGCTCAGAAGAAGATGGCTGTGGCCGGGCAATAGGTGAGTAGGTGGTGTGTGGCTTCCCACATCTTCCTTGCACGTGTTAGGAAGGCTGGTTGTGGGCAGGTGTGCCATTTCAGGCATGCTAATGTTTTACGGTCTGAAGTACAACAAGAAATAGGAGATGTTCTTTTCTTTGCAGAGCTCCCTATTAATTTATTTCACTATTAAAAATAAAATTTATTATTGCCCTGAGTGCATCTTGTTTGACACAGATCTGGATGGCAGAATCAGGGCCTATTCTGAGCTATTTGGAGTACAAATACGTGTGCTTTAGGGACTAAATCCGTAACAGGGACTGGAGGTGACTCAGTGTCCTCCTGTGTTACACTGTGTTACAAGGAAAACAGTGAGAGAGCTCTCCCCAGGTTTTGTTTGTTTTTGTTTTTAAATTGGATGTTACAGCAACTACTTGTACCCTTGGCAATTTAACAGAACTTAACCAAACTCAGATCTCATCAGGTTTTAATTGTGTGGTTCACGAGTTATTAAAATAAGCCATCAAACAGCCCTGTAAAGGCAATCCTGTGTACCTCAGTGCACGGGGCTCATAAAGATAGGTGATCCCTAAACGCCTGAGCACAAATTAGTCTGGGTTAGGTGGATAAATAGAGAAAAGTTGTCCTGTGGTAAGCATACAACCATAAGAAATTGTTCTCTAAATATTCTGGTTTTAGTTTGCAGCTGGTAGATCATCTTCATCTGCAGGCTGCCCCTCCTTGCCATGTTTTCCATCAGAGATGTGATGTAACTGCACCGTGCAGCCTGCGGTGTTTTCACACCCATGTGGGTGTGCCTGTGCAGGGGAGGCCCGTCTGACTGCAAATTGCAGATTCACAGGATAGGCAAATTGTTATGTAACTGCAATAAGGTGTCTAATCTCCCTTTGCCCAAAGCTGTTATACACAGAAAGATTCATGGTGAGTGCAAAGCAGTTAAGTTGAAGGTAGTGCCAATTATGCTGCTCCGTACCAGCTGAGAACCAGGCCACCCTAATAGGCCACCTAAGAATACTTTTTTTGTGACCCCGTGATGAAGCAAGCATTGTTGCCTCAAGGTCCAGGTGTGTTCACACGTTTCAGTGCTAGTGTTTTCAATGTAAAACACCTGTGAACCAAATAGGACTGGATGGTTTTCCCCACATCCAGTGCAGCTGTAGCATAGACAAGAGCAAAATGTTCTGCTCGCAGCCATGGGGGTCTGCAGCACCCAAAGTTCTGGGAAGATGAAAGTGGCTGTTTGCCGCACGGGGGAGTGAACTTGCTGTCTGAAGGAGGTCTTGAGTATACAGCAGTGTTTTGAGATTGAATGGGGTGAAAGACCTGACTCTGCGTATGAAGAAAAAAAAAAAAAAGTCTAAATAGGCTGAATGTGTGGAAGAGGTGAATGTATCTCTTTAAGGAATGCCGAATATTATAGGGCAGCGTTGTAGAAATGTACCTTTGTGAAACCAACAAGCTCCTGGCCTGTGTTCCCACCAGGGGGCAGGACGAGACAAAAATTAAGGCATTATTAAGGGGTAAAAGAGCAATAGCCCTGCTTTTAGCAATTGTTCCCTTCGGTTTCTGCAAAGCCACAGTCCCTGCAGCAGTATGGCTAGCTGAGTGAAAGAAGTAAGCCCTGTGTTTTGTTTTGTTTTGTTCTGTAAGCAATGCTTGGCTTCTGCTTCAGTGAATGTATATGTATTACTGCTTCTAAGATACTCTCTCCTCATGAGCATAAGCATTTTAATGTTATATAAACCTGTATCATAAATCTGAATTTTTTTTCCATATTGCAAAAAGCTGGCTGTTACTTTAAATCCCTTCTGTAGCATCTTAGCTCTTATTTTTCCTGAGCACAGTTTAGGGATTATCCACTTCAATGCAAGGCTACAGCACTATATTGTCCTTTGTAAAAACACAGTCACAGGAGCCTAAGGCTTATGCCATGCCCAATTACAGGAGGACTCTGACATCTTAAGCATTACTCGTGTCTAGAAATAATGCAGACAGCAGCCTACTTTCTGACATATTGTTGTGACCCACTGTGCAACAATGGAATGAACCACTGGCTGAAGACTGTTTAGCCCAACCATAATACAGGTAGTTGTGAAGAGCAAAAATTAGGTTTGTTCATGCAGAAGTGGATGTGCTTGGAAGAAATGCTGTTCATAATTAATTATGGCCTAATCCCAGATGATCTGAGTGCTCAGCTCTGAGCAAGAAGATTGTGAAAGTCTTTTCAGTAATTGCACTACAGAATGTAGTATATGTAAGAGGAGGTGAATCACCCAAGAGCAGAATTATATTAAGTAGTTCCCAGGCCACTCCAAATCTATGTGTGAGATGTGAAACCAGTAGCTGCTATCTGTGGATGGCTGTATATTATTGCTTGCAGCCATATTACCTGTATGCTACCAAAGTTACCAGGTCCCAGTAACTGTGGTGAGAATAAGTGGCCTTTCATTCATCATAGAGTTGTACAAGAATGAGAAGCCATCCTACCTCTTCACTTTGGCAATGAAAAAGGAACTGTAAATTGTGTGCTTAGCTTTGCCAAAGGTTTTCCCAAGCTTAAGGGATACATTTCTGCATGTATCAGCAAAGCAAGGCAGAGGAAGATGGTCTGTGATTCTGTGATAGTGTATAAATGTATAAATTATCTATAATTATATATTAAGAAGTTTCTGATGTCAAGTGGTTGAAGCAACTTTTGTACTACTGTGCTGAAACCTCTTCGGGAAACTCTTGCATTGAAATGTAGAAAAATAGTAACTTGTTTCAAACAGTTGTAGCCTGGTAGTAAAAAGGAAGATAACTGATGCTTAGATTTAGTGAGCTGAAAATTGTCTAGTTCTGTAAATAGACGGAAAAGGAAATATTTGACCATTATTCCTGGCCCTATTCATTCAAAAAGCATTAGTCAGCCCTCCAAATGAGATTAAAACATTTATTGAGATTCTTCTTATTTCCCTTCACTTTTGCTTGTAGCTGTGTTTGTTTTGTATTTTAGGCTTTCCCCACTGGCTACTGATGTTAAAAGCTTCATAAGAAAAGCAGTATTTGTCCTTAACAGGGGAGATGTCATTCTTTCAGAATTCTCTGCTATTCCAGCAACTGACTGGGATAATGAGGGTGCAGCAGAGGAATCTCTGGGTACTTTTATTTCCAGAGGAATGAGTGAGCAAGGAAAAGATGGAGGTCTGGATAAGGCAAAAGTGAAAAAAAGTGCTAAAGGGGAAAATTTCCTTGGGCATATTAGTATGCACTAACTTCCAGAAGTTAAATATTTATACAAAGTGCAAGCCAGAAACAGTACTTCAGCTTTTTATTTTTATTTTTCCTCAGTAGAACAATTCAGAAAGTTTCTTTGTGTGGAGGAGTGTAAGAGTTGGCTGTAACTCAAATTCAGGACATTTTCAGCTAAAAACATTTGGCAGGCAACTGAAAATTGCCAAAGCAGCTGCAGAGGCTGTTCTGTTCTGTCCTGTCAGTGCCTTATTCCTTGCTGTTCTCCCCAGGGCTTTCCAAGGGCTGGACTGGGGTGGTAGTGGCTCACTGCGGTGCTGCTCGGGGTGCTCAAAGGCAGGGAAGGCCACGGTACTCGTAATTGCTCTGTGTTTCCTCATCAGGTGATGAGCTGGAACAAGTAGTACGTGAACTTATAATTATCTACCTACTAGGCAAATAGAGTTTTGTTGTGTGGCAAGAAAATATATTAACATGGCTAAGACATGCTTAAGTAATAAGTGCCCAGACTTGAAGTTATGTAGCTGGATGAAAGTCAGGTTAGTGATGTACATCTGTTGGGTTACCTGGATACAGCAGAGATCGGGACTGACCTCAGATTCAGCGGTAAATAAAAATGAAAAGAGTACTGAAAGCATGCACACCTTCGGCATAAACACATATATTTCTTGAAGGTGTGAGTTTCAGTGATCAAATGTGCATCTTATCCTTTTGGACCTCAAAATAAAATAAAACAAATCTTGTTCGTAAGTTAATTGCAGATTATTAACCTATTTAAGCTTATTATATAACATGAAGTATTCAGAATGTTAAAAATGTTACTTTTTTTTCCCTAACAGTCTGTAAACTCTCACAAATTCAATGTCATGGTCTTTAGCTCTGAATTGGATTTACAATGCAGTGCAGTTCAAATGCTTTTTCTGTTTGTTTCATAATCCACGTATTCTTGATTTTTTTTTTTTTTTTTAAATGTCTATCCTTTATATAAAGGACATGACTTATATATATATATTTAAAAAAAGATTACTTTGTTATTAATTAAAAATAATTGACAGGAAAAATGAAGGGTTGGAAGTTAATTTACCTAAGAACAATGATGGGAA